CCCAAAAACACACCTGAGGAGACACCACACCCTCAGAAATACACCTGAGGAGACACCACACCCCCAAAAACACACCTGAGGAGACACCACACCCCCAAAAACACACCTGAGGAGACACCACACACCGAAAAACATACCTGAAGAGACACCACACCCTCAGAAACACACCTGAGGAGACACTACACACCCTAAAACACATATGAGGAGAAACCACACCCCCAGAAACACACCTGAGGAGACACCACACACCCAAAATCACACGTGTAGAAATTACCTCTGCAGACAGACACACCTTGAGATATTTCAAGTTTTTTAGCATCTGTTGCATTATTTGATTTTAGGACCATTCTGAAATTGAGTGAAACCGACTCCGCCCAACACCTACCTGGGTCCAGGTGTAAACAAACAGCAGCTGGTCTGACTCGACCAGGTGAACAGCCCTGGGAACAGAGTCCACTGGCACCGCCTCATAGATGCAAAGCAGCTGTTGGCCGCTTGTCAGGCTCCACCTCCTCAGAGAGCCATCAACAGCCAATGATAGGCAATGGGCGGAGTTTTCATTGATTTTCACAGATAAAAGTGAAGCTGTAGAAAAACAAAAGTTCACACTAAACCAAACCGAGTGCAGAACTGTTTCAGACAGCCTAGCGCAGTCGGACTCACCTGTGTGTCCCAGTAGAGTGTGCACAAGCTGATGGTCCATGAGACTCCAGACCATCACCACGCCATCATCTGAACCCGATACAAGCAGCTGGACCACAGTGCTGACATCCACACAGACCAGACCTGAAAACCCAGCAAGAGTCAGAAATGAATTTTCAGGTCTTTAATCAAAGTCTTTTTATTGATTTTTTTTTTTAACATACAGCCAAAAAGGAGAACACAAAGAACAAAAAACCCTTCCACCCCTCCCCTCCCACACCGGATCTGTCACATATAAACTAAACAGGCATTGTCAAGTTTTCCACATGCAACATAAAAGGCTGTCAAGTGTCCAAAAATCTTTTAACAAAACCCTTCAGGGCATACTAATTTTTTCCAGATGAATATGATACATCACTTCACTTATCCAATGTACATATGCTGGGGGTGTGGGTCCTTCCCACTGCACAAGACAAGTCTCCTGGCCAGAAGAAAGCCAAAAGCAATTACATCCTTCTCATACTTGCTGAAGGACTTATCCACAGGGACCACCCCGAACAGTGAGATGAACGGTAATGGGTGAACAGTTCTCCCACATATACCAGAGAAGGTGTCAAAAATAGATTGCCATAAAGTCCACAGTTTGGGACAGGTCCAGAATGTATGCAAGAGTGTAGCTGGAGTTTGTTTACAACGATTACATGTGGGGTCCAGATCAGCTTTGATATTGGACAGCTTGTCTTTGGACCAGTGCAGACTGTGCACTTCCTTGAAATGGATTATAGCATGTCTCAGGCAGGTTGAGGATAAGTAAATGTTCTTGATCTTTCCCAAGGTTGAGTCTGATATGGATTCCTCCAAGTACATTTCCTATTTCAGTTTAAGGGAGTCCAAAATGGTCTCATGGTATGAACTGAGCAGTGTATAGATTGTGCTAAGGGCCCCCTTGGTATCAGACCTGCATTCTAAAATCTTAACCACAAAATGTTTAGGAAAACAATCAGAGTTAGACCTCACAAAATGTCTCAGCTGCAAATATCTGAAAAACTGTGACTTCCACCCATCCATCCATTATCTTCTGTTTGTTTCAAAGTCAGTTTGCAGGGAAAGCAGCTTGAGCAGGGAGGCCCAGACACCTTGTTCCACAGCCACCTCTTCCAGCTCTTCTGGGAGGATTCCAGGGTGTTCCCAGGCCAACCGAGAGACATAGTCTCTCCAGTGTGTCCTGGGTCTTCCCCGAGGTCTCCTCCCAGTTGGACATGCCCGAAGCACCTCCCTAGGGAGGCACCCAGGGGGCATACTTACCAGATGCCTGAACCACCTCAACTGGCTCCTCTCAATGTAGAGGAGTAGTGGTTCTACTCTGAGTCTCTCCCGGATAACTGAACTTTCCACCCTATCTTTAAGGGAGAGTCTAGCTACCCTGCAGAGGAAACATGTCAACCGCCTACATCCGTGATCTCATTCTTTCAGTCACTACCCAGAGCTCATGACCATAGGTAAGGATAGGAACATAGACCAACCGGTAAACAGAGAGTTTTGTCTTACAACTCAGCGCTCTCTTCACCACAACGGACCGGCACAGAGTCTGCAATACTACAGATGCTGCACCAACTCATCTGTCAATCTCACGCTCCATTCTTCCCGCACTCATGAAGAAAACTCCAAGATACTTGAACTCCTGCACTTGAGGCAGAACCTCGCCCTCGACCTGAAGAGAGCAATCCACCCTTTTCCGGTTGAGGACCATGGCCTCAGATTTGGAAGTGCTGGTTCTCATCCCAGCCACTTCACACTCGGCTACAAACTGCTCCAGTGAGAGCTGAAGATCATGGCATGATGACACCAACTTGTCCAGCTTCAGCACCTCCGTTAGCATCTTGGCTATCACTGTAGAGGTGCACGAGCCCGACAACTCAAGAACTCCAATAATTCTAACATTGTTCTGTTTTTATTCCCCTCCATGGATTCAAGCCTTCTTCTCAGCCCATCCACCTCATTTTTCAATTCCACCATGGTCCCTCGCAGAACCCCCACCTCATCTGAGCATAAAGACAGTCCATTTTCAGTCTCTGTAACACTTAGCTTGATCTGGTCAAACTCTGCTCTGAGGGCCTCAGTGTTCTCAGCAAGCTGCGCTCTCACTGCCTGCAGCTCATTATTAATAAAATTAAAATAATCCGTCAGACCCGCCTTCATTTCCATCCAAATTATCATTGTGAATTAGATTTACTTGAAGCCAGAATATCTGACTTCAGAGCCGACTTGACCATCACTCCAGAGCCCGGCGAGGGCAGGGTCGATGTACCTGCTCCCGCATCACTGCGGCTCGAGGCTGTAGCTGTATCTCCAGGCCGTTGTCTTAGATTTTTTTAAATTTAGAGATCATATTACAGCTCCGTCAAATCAGTCCTGCGACGACACCAATCTCAGAGGAAGAATCCAATGCAGAGGCAGCGAGAATATAAATATAAAAGGCAGTTTTTAAGGCAGGGCTAACAGGGGCTTAGCAGAACGAAGCTTAAGGATCCATGGCCATCTTGCACTCTCAATCTTCAGGTCTTTAATCAGAAGCTGATCCAGTTTCCCCATATCATGTCTCTTCACATTGGGCCCCATCAGATCTCCGGGGGTTTATGAGGATCTGTTTGGTGTTAAAAAAAATTTAATTTACCCTTTATTTATCAAGGTAGTTTCATTGAGCCACGAGAACTCATTTTCAAGAGAGACCTGTTTAGGGAGCAGATGGGGGTTAAGGGCCTTGCTCATGGGCCCAGGGTGGGGCGAATGAGGGTGGGGGCAAGTGTGGGTACTTCACCTACCCCACCCACATTTTTGATGTTGTCTGTACCGGGGCTTGAACCGGCGATCTTCCAATCACAGGCCCACCTTCTCTAACCTCTGCGCCACCACTCCCTCTAAATGTTTGAATTAGCAGGTACTAACCTCCATGCGGAGCAGACAGTATGTGCTGGAGCGCTCCCCCTGGTTGTTGCAGGAAGCTGTTCTTTGGGATCAGGACTGGCTCCGGACAGGTCTGGAGCCAGTTATTACACTGGCTGCATAGTGGACCAATCACAGCAGGGCAGGAGGCGGACAGGGAAGACAGTCGGGCCAGCAGCTCAGAGTAAAACAGAGATTTGTCTGAAACATGAAAGAAAAAAAAAAACACATCAGGTCTTCAACTCCTGGTCCAAACAGAATCAAGAGTACAGCTGAATCACACTGACCCATGTGACTGTGCAGAAAGTCCAGGCTGGGCTTCATCAGAACCAGTGCATCACGGATCAGTCTGGTTTCAGAACAGTTCATGTATTGGAAACACCAGTCCAGGTCAGAGATCACACTGGAAACCCCAAGGACTCGGGTTTGACAGTACAACCATTCTGCATTACCTGTGAACACACAGAACCTCTAAGACTGGAAAGACTAAGTCCACTGGAACCACAGTCACGAGAAACATTGGGTCCAGTGAAACCACAAAGGCCAAAAACCTGGATTTAAAGAAAACCTTAAGTCCAGAAACATTGGGTACTCTGGGACCATTGAGACCAGAAACACTGGGTCCACTGAGACCATTGAGACTATTGAGACCAGAAACATTGGGTCCTCTGGATCATTGAGACCAGAAATACTGGGTCCACTGGACCATTTTTAGTATTTTACATTGCTTTATAATGCTGCTGCTTTTGTTTTTTTTTTTTGTTTTTTTAAAATAATTTCTTCTATTTACCTTTCATTTAAGATGCTTTTTATGTCTGTACCTCATCTGTGTTCTTTGTTAAAATCAGGTCTCTCGTGTAAATGAGTCCTCGTGGCTCAGTGAGACTAACCTGTAGAAATAAAGGTTTAACGAATGAATGAATTGAGACCAGAAATGCTAAGTCCACTGGAACCATTGAGACCAGACTATTGAGACCAGAAACAGTAGATTCTCTGGGACAATTGAGACCAGAAACAATAGGTCCACTGGACCACTGAGAACAGAAACACTGGATACTCTGGACCATTGAGACCAGAATCAATGGGTTCACTGGAACATTGAGACCAAAAACACTGGATACTCTGGAACAATACAGTAAATGGTAAATGGACTGTACTTGTATAGCGCCTTTCTATCTGATCAAGATACTCAAAGCACTTTACACTACAATCTGTGCCCTCATTTATCCATTCATACAGCACTCTACTAGATCGCTACAAAGCTAATTGAACAAATCATTCTAATGAGACTAATCAGTGCTTTTTTTTTAGATCACATTCATAAACCAATGGGACACACATCAGAGGCAATGCAGATTCAGTGTCTTGCCCAGGGACACTTCAGCATGTGAATGCTGATGGATTCGAACCCCCAACTCTTACACTGGAGGACGATTGTTCCAACCACTCAGCCACCACCGTGTACTGAAACACTGGGTTCTCTCAGACCATTGAGACCAGAAACCCTGGATACTCTGAAATCAGAATCATAATCAGAATAAACTTTATTGGCATTGCACCGAGATACAACACGAATATGTACGTACAGTCGTCCGAAGATGGGTGGAGTGCACAAAGCTGCGGCTATAACTAATTAGCACGGCCATTGAGACCAGAATCAATGGGTACTCTGGAACAATAGAGTACAGAAACACTAGATTATTTTGGACCATTGGCCCTGGGTTCCAGTGGACCTAGGACCACTGAGACCAGAAATACTGGGTCCACTGGACCAGTGAGACCAGAAACCCTGGAAAATCTGAAACCATTGAGACCAGAATCAACGGATACGCTAGAGCAATAGAGTACAGAAACACTGGGTTCTTTTGGACCATTGGCCCTGGGTCCCAGTGGACCCAGAACCACTGAAACCAGAAATACTGGGTCCACTGGAACCATTGAGACCAGACCATTGAGACCAGAAACAGTGGTGTGGTTTCTGGTGTGTAAGTGAAATGAATAGAAGATATTTCTATCCAACAGGTCCACTGGACCATTGAAACCAGAAACACTGGATTCTCGGGGACCATAGAGACCAGAAACACTGAGACCATTGAAACCAGAAATCCTGGTCTACTGATCAGACTGGACAAATTGGATCCACTGGGACCATTGAGACCAGAAACACTGGGTCTTCTGGGACCATTGAAACCAGAAACCCTGGTCCATGATCAGATTGGACAAACTGGATCCACTGAACAGTGATGGAACTTAGACCCAGTTTCTTTAAATGGACAGTTGGTTCCAGTCCAGTTTTATTCTAAAGTTAAATGTGTTTCTTTTATGGAGACATGAAGGAGAGTAAAAAAGTTCTGGTTTTTTCAGGACTTCTCAGAAACCCGAAGATGACCAAATATTTGTCAGTAATTCACAATATAAATTCAAGCTCTTTCTGTTTCCGTTACCTATAACTTCCTGTTTTAGCTCCTCCCACAGGCCGGCGTGCAGCAGGTGATAGGTCAGCTCCTGGAGCTTCCTGATGTTTGCCAATCCTGGAGCAAACCACAGCGGCTGGGGCGGGGCCTGTGGCAGCGGAGAACCAATCAGAGGGAGCTTCTGACCTGCTTTACCTTTTCATCCAGTTCTTCATCAGAGGCCTCGTCGTTACCTTTCTGTCAGACAGCAGCAGAGTCAGACCCGGTAGAGACGCCGGCTTCAGTTTTCCGGACCACCGGCCTGAGAAGTATTCAGCCAGGATCCTGTGACTCCGCCCCCGGCGCTCTGATGTCAGGTAGCGGGCGGAGACTGCCTCAGAAACGCGCCTAAACACAAACGCCTGAACTTTATTCTAGAATAACCTGAATGTGTTTAAAAACAGAACCAGGAGTTTGGACAGAACCAGAGGAACAACAAAATATACCAAAAGGTTAAAATAGAGCCATTTTAAAATGCTTCTGTGTAAAAGTTGTAAACACTATCTTACCTGTTCTAGACAACCTCCATTTGGACAGGACTGATGAATGAAAGGCTAGTTAGAAAGGATCAACGTGGAGAACCTTAACATCTTCAGTTCTGCTGTTATTCACAAGCACAAACATCAGCGGCAGCTTCTAGCTGTAGCACTTCCTGCAGAATTGTCATATTTCAGTTGAAATAATTGTGAAGTCAAGCTGACTTGAGATGAACGTGTTAAATGATTCTTTTTAAGTTTAAAACATTTGGCAAAATCCTCCGCAAACAGCTCCAAAGAGTTTTTAAACAGGAAGTCTACAACAGTAGTTTCTGTTGGAGACAAGTCTTCGTGAGGACGTCCTTAAAATGTCTCCAAACATTCTCGATGGTTCTCAGATTTCTCCCAGTCATGTTGCTTGTACGTTAAACATGAAAAACAAATCATTGTGAAAATATCCCATAAAATCCTCAGGATCATCGTGAACGTTTCTAACGTTAAGTTCAGTCATTCCTCAGAACCAGAATCTGTTTTTTCTGTTTGTGTAAATAAATTCTGGTGGATTCTGACCCAAAAGTCACAACAGTTTGTGTAAACGTGTCGTTGAGCTCGACTCCAGGGACAGTCTGAGCTCAGCGAGAGACCAGTTCTAGGACTTGTCCTGAGGATCTACACGGAGGTCTGGGACAAGCTTGACTCGTTCACGCGGTCCAGATGGACTGGAACCATCACACAGACATTTAAATTTTAAACCTTTAATCTCAGGATGTTTTATTCAGAAAGGAAGATGAAGCCAGTGCTACAGCTAGCTGCTGCTGCTGCTGGTTCTTACTGCAGACTTCTGTGTAAAAACTCCTCTATCACGAAGCTCAGAGGTTTTGAATCATATGTTTACTCAAACTAGCCATTAGCTCATCTTCTGGTTCAGATTTCTACCTTGTTCCTCCAAAGAGCTATCTGCAGCAGGTAAGATGTTTATTATTCAAAATCTTTCTACAGAAACTCACTTTAAAATGGCCATTATTTTCTTTTAGGCAACCCCCCCCCCCCCCCCAAAAAAAGGCAAACCCTGAACCTGATTGATCTCCTGACTGATCACCTGATTGCTCATCTGACTCATCTGATTGATCGCCTGATTGATTATTTTGATTGGTTACCGGCTGCTGAAGGTGAGAACAATGACTCCATCAGTCCAGCGTTCCTCCAGCTGGTCCTGGAGGTCCCATCTGAGCCGGGCCCACAGGAGGGGGGGCAGACGGATCAGGGAGGGAGTCGGAGGGAGAGTGTGTCTGTACACCTCACTGATGACATCATCATCCAGGGACATGACATCACGCAGCTCCACTTCCAGCAGACCTCCCCTGTGGCATTATGGGATAAAGAAGAATAAGATTTCAGATCTGAGGGGTCAGGCAGCATCTGAGACGCCGTCCTGTTGGACACAAATCTGCCTGAAGGATTTTAGACACAAAGAGAGACAGAAACACTAAACAGAACCGTTCAGGAAGAACTCCCACTAAACAAAAAAAACCACTAGAAATTAATCTCTAAAAACTAAAAAAATGCATAATCTGTAAGATTAATGTTTATTTTCTAAGAGAAAAACAAAACTTCAAAAATATGAAGTGTCCCTCCTTGTGTTGAACATCACAAAACTAATTTGTTTGATTGACTCTTTTCTTCGTGATTCGATTAATGAGATTAAAACTTTGTTTTCGCAGCTTCAGAGTCGACAACTCGCAGCATGAACTCAGCATCAAGTCTGTCCTGTTTAACTAAACGTGTGACAGAGACCCTTCCTCTCAACACGTAGCTGCAGAGCGCAGTGTGAGTTACATGGTCCTAGTGCCTTGCATGTTTAAAGTGAAAGGAACTTCTCTGGTAATAACCTAAATAGACAAACTGGATTTTGATTAAAATTTATTCTGAACCAGAACTCTTACTTCTGTTTTATATATTTACTTATGTCAGAATTACAGAAACGTGTCGTCTTCTTACCTTGCTAAAGCAATGTATCCCAAAGCTCCACCCACCAGCTCCTTCCCATGTTTCTCTTCCAGCCTCAGCAGGGTTTGTGACATCACTTCCTGTGTGCTGGCGCCCAGCAGCAGCACGGTGGGCGGGACGAAGGAGGTCCAGCGTTTGGCGGCAGACAGAATGAGTTTTAGGTGGAGGGGACAGCCGGTGGACCCGAAGCTCCTGAGCACCACGTCTTTCTGCTCTGCAGTTAACGTCCTCTGACACTCTCGCAGGTACGACTCCACAATGAGTTCACCTTCCTCATGAGACAAACACTCCACCTCAAAGAAGCCCTGCAGGGTGCCCAGCTTCAGCCTCATGTTGGCGAATGCCTCGCTGCTGGTGTCCATGGAAACCAGCAGGTGGACGTTTGGTGGGACATCGGCGGTCAGCCAGCGCAGTTTGTGGGCGTGATGTTGGTCTGAAAGCTGGTCCAGAGAGTCCAGGACGATGAGCAGAGTGTTCCCCTGCTGAGAGACGTCCTCCAGCATGTTCTTGAAGAACCGCAGCAGTTCCAGGTGATCCATCAAAGGAGGGGGTGGAGCCAAACTGCATGCCAGACAAACCTGGAGGCAGATGCTCCGCAGGATATGGTCGACATTGAATCTCCGAGGATGACAAGCCGCCAGCAGCCTGATCACCAGCACTACCCTTGACTCCAGGAGACACTGCATCTCCTGGATCAGTTTACACAATAGAGCGGTCTTTCCCATCCCAGCATCACCGTGGACCACCACCGGACCATGGCGGACTGTGGTGGACTCCCACATGGTGAGACAGATCTTACCCAGAAGCCCCTCTCTGCCAAGGACACCTTTACTTTGGTCAGCGCTCATGGCGGCATGCTGCCTCGCCTCTTCAACCATCCTGTCATCCTCATCCTCAATTCGTCCTCTGATCGTCCTCCTCTCCTCCAGCGGACCAACCACAGCTTTGATCCGGTCCTTCATCTGTGAAACAAACTGCTGACAGATGCTATCCAGGTACTGAGCATGCTCTTTATGCTTCGGCTCGATGCTTCCTTTGTTAAGCTCCACGCAGTGCAGGTTCAGAATCTTCTGGCATGTGTCGTAGACCCGGGACTTCAGCTTATTGAGGAGGTCCAGGGCTTCAGCATCCAGCAACCCGTCAAATGTCACATCCATGAACTTGGCGAAACGTTTTGGACCGTCCCTGATCTTCTGCCGAGGAATCTCCCGGACAAAGACCAGAGACAACACTTTTGTGTCATCCTTCCACAAACCGTCCTCAAACTCCTTCTCTGTGACTGGAGGACAGAGAGACATTAGCTCTGAGAGACAGAAGAGGACAAGCTGGAGGAGGTCTCCTCTCTCTCACCTGATGTATAGAAGAGTCTTGTGTCCTCTGAGGTGTTGTCTCCGTCCGCCTTGGAGTCAGCGGCCGCAGAGCGAAGAAGCTGCAGCAGCTGCATCTCCGTGAAGCGCCAGGAGAGGACACTGTTGTCATGAAGCTGCTTGTCCTCAGGTCGAAGGTCACAGAAGTGAGGGAAGTGAGCCGTGATTGGCTGAAGGACGTAGGTGGGTGGGACAGCATTGTTGTCCTTTAGGTACCACCGCTGCAGCTGCTTGATACCTTCAGGGTTTTTGGAAAGTTTGGACAGAAGGACCTCAAACTGTTTCTCCGGAACGAGACGAGGAAGAACTCGGGAGCCATACCGGTTCCCCAGCAGGCCCTTAGGAACCCAAACAAGCAAAAAGCTGTATTATCAACAAAATCACTTGGATATCCACCTCTCTGTGCTCTCTTCCACCTGCTCCCTGCCTTCACTACAGATCATCAGAGTCCATGAGGACTTCTGCCTGTTCTCACCTGTCCACTTGTGAATCACTGAACAGGAAGTGAGTCAGAGCTGATCCCTGATGTGACCCCACCCACCTGTCACTCATACTGCACATCTCACCACTAAATCCAAGCCCAAGATCAGTTTATTAAGTAAAACAAAACATTTAAAACTATTAGTTTGGTTCATTAGTTGAATTTTGTTCATTTATAGTTTTTTTTTTTGTTGTTCTTTATTTTAGTTTATTTTTTAGTTTTCTTATTTTATTTTATTTTAGATATTTATTTATTTATTCTTTGGTTAGGGAAATGGAGGACACACTCACAACGAAGGCCGGTCCAGCTGAGACCCTCTGACAGGTCCTGATCTCCTGCAGCGAGATCTCCCAGTCCTCGTGGTCTCCAAATGAGGTGTTTCGAAACCCCCAACGCAGATCCACCACCTGGATAGGAAGTCATCCTTATGAGCCAAAACATTACAACCACTCACAGACAGAAGTAGCTGATGGAGGATGATGATAGATGTTTGGATGATGGATGATGATGATGATGGATGGATGATGATGATGGATGATGATGATGGATGGATGATGGATGGATGATGATGATGAT